CATCAAGACCTTCAGAATTACAAATCACAGTTCCTGTAAGTATTGGAAATATAGATATATGTAATTTGAATTTTGCTACCTATTGGAAGCAGATATTTTAAAATTTATAATTCTCCATACAAAAGGTTGCTCTCACCTGCTTCAGATTAAACTTTTATTTATAATTGGCTCTCCATTTCAAAGGCATTATATAGCTAATATGCTAGGCAAGATAAAGAACCTAATGCTACAACTGGTACGATGTCTCAGAAAATGTTTACCAGCTGCAAAAACATCTAATATTTGAAACTTAGAACAAGAACTGATCTTGATAAGGCTTCAGGACCTCTCCATTTTATTTATTTTGGAACTTGGGACACTAGATACTGAGAGATTCAAGTTTTTTACTGCTTTTATAAAGTGGAATTATCTTATCAACTAATGAAAAGAAAAAGTAGCACACAAAGATCACCCATGGCTATATCAAAATATATTTTAAAACCATCTCCCAAAGCAGAGTTACAGTCAATGCACTTATTCAAGGGCCATTCATTTCATTTGTAGTGATCCAAGTGCATGCTTATCTTCATGTCCCTCCTTTAATTCCATATGACCATTTCATTGGCTGGTGATGTCTCTACTGAATAGTTGAAGAAATATAAGAAATAAATGTAAAATTAATCTAGGTGTTCACTATTACAACCAGATTTGACAAATGTTTGGGTGGGAGTTTAAAAAAATTACACTACTACTACACAAATTAATCTGAATCAAACATTTGTTTCGTTTTATGTTCTTCTTTTGGGCAATAATTCACAGCTGGGCTCCCAGTCTCTCAATTTGAAAGCAGGAGTAGAAAGGCTAGGCCTGAAGTTTACAGCTATCACAGTAATTGTCATGACAAACTTGAAGGGCAGCAGCTTATTTTTGAACTAACTTGAGAATGAAAGGTGCACAAAATGTTCCAAAATATCTCTTCCATAGAGGAGTCCAAAATGAACCCACTATCAATTGTGAGTACCAGCCCTAAAGTACCATGGATCCTTGTGGGGCTGCTCCACACCACTACAAATCATTGAGGGAATCCTAAGCTTTCTACTAAAGTAACACACACAAACTCATATAGAACATTGAAAAGGAAATTAAAAAATCAATTTTAAATGGATGGTTAATAAGAAGCTAGACTATTTTCATGTATCAATATGTAAAGGTATAACCCATTTGAAAATGTTTATTATTATTCTAACCAAACTTTTCAGAGATGTGACAAAAGAAAATTAGAGGAAGTTCAGAAGACAGCTCATAAATGGACAAGGCATTCTTTAAGAAAAATTTACCAAGGACCATCTGATTACTTAACTGTCAGGAAACAGGCTCCATTCAGACATCATTATACTCCTAAAACCCACCCTCAAAAGGCAGAATCTAAAAAGTCCAAAGATGACAAAAAAGAAACAACTTTTAAGAAATATTCTAAGAAAAATACAAGCCCACATGAAACAACTCCAGAATCCAAGAAAATAGTAAATGACAAAAAAAGTAAAAGAGGAATTAAAGCAGATAAAACTCCATCAAAATCATCATATGAAAGTGAACTATCTAAGAAGTCAAAGTACAAATCAGAAGCAAACCCAGAATCCAAAGATTCTAAGGCAGTCTTGATGAAGGATCCAAAAAAAAATAAGAGAGATTCAAAGAATTCCAAAGAGACAGACATTGAATCCACATGCACAAAGAAGGATTCTAAGATCTCAAAGAACAATTCTGATGCTAAATCAGAGACTTGCTCAAAAAACAGTTCAAATATGGATTTAATTATGTATTTAGAGGAGTCTGGTGCTGAATCCATGGAATTTGATATGTGGTTAAAGAATTACTCACAGAATAATTCAAAGAAGTCTTCGAAGAAGGAAGCAAAGAGTTCTGATGCTGAATCTGTAGACTCAAGAGATGCAAAGACTGATAAGAAAGATACAAAGAAAGACAACAAGAAGGATGCAAAGAAGGATGTAGAGTCTACTGATACAGGGTCTACAGACTCAAAAGATGCAAAAAAAGATTCAAAGAAGGCTAAGAAAGATTCAAAGAAAAAGGATGCTAAGAAAGACAAAGAGTCTACTGAGGCTGAATCTGAGTCTGAGTTGGAGTCAAAAAAGGATAAGAAAGATTCAAAGAAAGATAAGAAAGTTTCACAGAAAGATGACAAGAAAAAAGCTTCCAAGAAGGACACAGTGTCAACTGATGCTGATTCTGAATCTGAATGGAATTCAAAAAAGGGTGAAAAAATTGAAAAGAAAGATAAGAGAAAATCAAAGAAAGATGACAAAAAGAAGTCTGCAATGAAGTCTGAAGAATCCAGTGAAACTGAATCTGACTGGGAGTCAAAGAAGCATAAAAAAATGTTAAAGAAGACTAAGGGAGATTCAAAGAAAGGTGCCAAGAAGCAGGATGCAAAAAAGGGCATGGAGTCTACTAGTGCTGAATCTGATGAGTCTTCCGGGAAAGGCCCAAAGAAGCGCGGAATCTTGAAAAGTTCACACGCTGAATCTGAAGAGTCAGTACATAAATTTGGGGCTAAAAAGAAAGGAGTTGATGAATCAGATGCCACATCTACAGATTCAAAGAAGGAAGCACAAAAGAGAGAACACAAAATGTCATTCAAAAAGACCACATTCAAAGGAAAAGAGACACATACAGGTAGAGTTCCTCCATCAAGAGAAAGACCACCACTACCTCCTTGTAAGCCTTTATTACTGTCACCTAAGGTCAAACGTCTCTGTAGGTGCAAGATGCCTCCTCCACCTCCAAAACCAAGATATGCTCCTTTGGTATGTTTACTCCTGTTTTATTTGTAGAGACAATTGTATTAAAAATGAAAGATAGTT